CTGCGATGGTTTGGGCATGTGTTGCGAATCCGCCCGAAAGGAAGGCTAAGCAATTTTTCCTTGCGCAGCCGATCGGCAGAAAGCCCAAGGGTAGGCCAAGATTAACCTGGTGCAAATATATGGAAGGAATCTGTTCTAGACTCCAGTTGTCTTCTACCGAAGCTCAGACTCTGGTGCAGGATCGGGAACGTTGGACGCAGTATCTGACGTGTCTGCCACCGCTTTCCGAAAGGAGAAGTGGTGAGAAAGATGGAGAAAAACAAGAAGAAGACTGTATGCTGTTAGACTGCTATGAAACCACTAAAAGTACCATTTAATCAACTGCCTATCTTTCGGCTGAGCAGCGACCATCTAAGTTCGAAAAACAGCAGAATAAATGTGCGACCTTTAATTGAACAATATTTGAGGAACCAGTTCGCTCCTCCACCTAGCGTTTTACGTCGTCACGGATCGGTTGCAAAATTCAACTTCTCCCCAGTTCTTTGATTATTCTGAAACTACGTGTAACTTCATATCATTTTCAGCAATATCGAACTTTCTTTCCTTTGATCTGTCCACTCCATTCGTTACTATTTTTTGGGCCAAACGCCTCTGCATTCTTCATTCATGACTAGTCCAAACAGTCCCGTCTCCATCAGGTTTCCCGTTATTGGAACAACTTTTGCAATCGCCCATATGAAGGTAATTTCAGTGCGGTCTTTCTATTAACATCATGCAGCTTTACGCACTGAAACTTCTGCAGTATTTGGCTACTGTTTGATTCACTTTAGCGAGGTTCGTCTCGCCCTTCACCCTCGCATATTTCTCCTTCATTTGCTTCGATGATTTCTTATACACTTGCCAATTTACTGACATATTTACTTACTACATTACAAAATATTTTTAGTCACTTACATTTTTACTTCTTAAGTAACTTCTTAATTTATTCACATCTGTGCCCGCTAATCAATTTTGCGTCTAATCTTTTCTTCCTTTGTTTTTGTTTCTTTCTTTTATTTTTGTCCCTTTTCTTTCTGTTTCCTTCCTTGGCTCGTACGTTCCTCCTTTCTTTCTCTCTGGACGCACTGATTTTACTAGTGAGCACTGTCCTGTATACCATCTTCTTCAACTTGATGAAGAACACTTTCATGCTTTAAAGCATGACGCTCATCTGTAGTTACTTGAACTATGCCTTTCTCTATCTACTGGTAAAAACGATTCAATTTCACCACTGTTCTCTCAGAGGAGTCAATACAGCTCAATCTCGAATTTCTAAATAGGAAACGAATCACTCTCAATCGATAAAAATCGTATTATGCCCGACTACATTACCAATATGCTTAAACACGTGTATACATAACAAACACACATAGGTCCAGCTAAAAATTTCGTGCAAAACAGCTACTATTTTAGCAGCTTGTCATATTTTCACTGTATGTACAAAAACACATGTGAGGAAACTAATAGTTACGTCAAAATTAACGCATATGCTTAAAACATGGGTTTAGTCAAAGTATAACCGAATAAAATAATCTCCTTTGAACTCATGCATCGATTACAAATCAATACCTACGAATTGGGCTCTGGTTCGCCGTTATGAATCTCGACAACGACGTCCTCTACGTCTTTCCTCGAACGATCGTAAATGTTCAGATCTTTCACTTCAGCCCTTTCTACCGTCGACTTTTTCCGTATATCTAGGAACAGTTGGCTAATACGTCTCACAATGTCGAGCCATAAAACCAATCATATCTCAGACAACAAACAAATACATTGCGTTACGTAACATAGCATACAGAAACTAAAATCATATAAACAGTTATAATCGATGAAAGAGAGTCCAAATGCAAACGTTATCAGCTTTGGGAATAAACGATTAACGCTGCCGACAAGTACCAATGTATTTACGACGCATGTTGATCTCATGTTAAATGTTAATATCGACTTCTTTTATCTTTTAGCCGTTTAATCATGCTTGGATCTACGACTTGGCATCCGATGGCAGAATAATCGTCTTCGATTTACAGTCGGACCGCTGGACAAACTGTGGAACTCTTGCGACGTGCCTTGTAGCTGACCGGCGTTTTCCACTAACAACACCACGTCACCGGCGAACCTTAGGTGGCTGAGCTGTTTATTTTGATGTCAACTCATCTTCTTCTTCATCTTCATCTTCCATCGCCGCTTCTCCTTTCGGGTCGCGGAGGCAGACGCGTCAGA